ATCATAGCTTTTTAAATTATTATTCAGTACACTTCTTCAATCACTTTTTGCATCAGGTAAGGAAAATACACCAGTGTGTTGATTCATTTTTCTGTGATAGCTTATCACTGATGTTTGCTTTTGGAGACTGATTTTCAGAGAGTATTTATTTAGATAATATATATAATGTTTGGATTTCTTGCATGACTTGTTTCCTACTTCTAAATCAAAGGAATGAATGAATACTTAGCAGAGAGTTTCTTGAATTCTGGTATTGTTTTAGTTTTAGTGCCTCCTCCCTGTGTCTTCCCATTTTTTTACCATGGAAAAGTCTACAATTCTTGCACTGAAAATGCAAGCAAGAACCACCCATGGTGTGCCACAACTGCAAACTACGATCACTCCAAGCAATGGAAGTATTATGTATCTAAAGGTTTGACATATTTACATTTCTGGGTTACATTACTCTGTAGGGTTAACAACAATTATCTGAAACAGTCAACTGATTCCTTTTATACCTGTTTCTGGGCCTATTCTGGTATAGAAATAAAACAGGCATTGTAGACTGTTTGTCTTCACTTTAGTAAGCTTAACCTAGCTCTACCGCAATGCTGTAACTGCCCATCAATGTGCAGCTTAATTATATAAAACTAAAAAGATGTAATTTGGATGACAAGTCAGTTAATCCCTCTCCCAGAAGTGAATTCTGTGTTTCAAAGTATATATTTGGTGCGAAAGAATTAATGTGTTTTATAATAGTGCCTATGATTTGGCTTCATCATAATAACTTTCATTGGCTTATCATGATATGTGTACTCACTCCTTGAGAATCTCTTACTTAAAAAGTGCCATTCTTTTATAAATCCTGTTTTATGATGGTCACTTTTACCCTTTCTAGAAATTAAGGACATTGGTTTGATGGATGGGGAGAGAAATTTCTCCCATAACCCTAAATCCACATTAGGATAACACTATTCCAAAGCAATGTTCAATTTTCAAACTAAGGTCCTCCTTCCAACAATTTTGGAAACTGGATAGCTGTTTTTAAACACACACTTCCTTTTGTGCTTGAAACATAACAGCAGTAGCACTTAGACTTATATACTGCTTCACAGAGCTTTACAGCCAAGTCTAAGAGTTTACAGAGACAATATATTGCCCCCAACAATCTGAATCCTCATTTTACTGACCTCAGAAAGATAGATGGCTGAGTCATCCTTGATCTGGTGAGAATGGAACTGCAGAACTACTGGTAGTCGGCAGTCAGCAGAAATAGCCTGCAGTACTGCATTGCAATCACTGTGCCACCATGGCTCATTAGATGTGTGACTCTTCGAATACACACATTATAAAGGGGCTCAATAATATGAAATAAATCTGAAATAATATGGTATGGAACATTACTAAAATAATATATATCTTTTATTGCTTTGTCTTATGCTTAGAATATGGTGGTAATTCTGGTGGAAAACAATGTGCATTCCCCTTTACATACAAGAAACGAACGTATTATAGTTGCACGAATGAAGATGCAGAAATAGGAAGATTCTGGTGTGCAACAACTGGGAGTTATGATAAGGACAAACAATGGAGCTACTGTGCTGATACCAGTAAGATAACTGTGTGATGTTAGCTTATTTGATGTAATAGGAATAGCTAGGTTACTTGTACACAAAAGAAAGTAGAGCGACTTTTTAATTGATTTAAAAAATGGATAAATAAAGTTAAGAGTAGTGCAGAAATGAATACATTTTGGAGGAAGGGAGAAATGATACTGCGTAGTGTAGAGGCAGGGAATTTAACCAAGGTCCCTAGATCTAGTCCCTTACAACTTGAGAAATAAATTAATAAAGTCATGGAAACTGGTAATGTTCAATGTAAAAAACAAATAATGGTTTAATTAGGGGTGGCCAATTACTTTTCTCAAAAGGCCACATGAGGACCTGGGGCTGTTGTGGAAGGCCAAACCAATAACTCCCAACTGCACCCCACTCATTCGCCTTTAAGGCGGTGATTTGAGGATATGGCTGTGGGTGACTGAGCCCAGG